CTCAGCTCTTATGGATATAGGCGGTGCGATAGATCTGCAAGGGGGGAGAGATAGAGGCAGCGCTCCACGACGGATCTATAAGGGATGCTTCGTGACAAATCTGCAAAGGGGAAAGCTGGTGCAGCGGCGGTGATGAACTACACTTGGGGTGGAATTGACAGAGACAACGTTTCAAAACAGTGAGGGTGGTGTCTAAAAATGAGAGAGAGGGAGAGAGAAAGGCATGGTGGGATGGCCGTAAGGAAAGGGAACAGAAAGATGAGATTAATTAGAGATTTAATATTTTTTATAAGGACTTTTATTACTTTTTTTATAACCGTAGTGTAATCTATTTATATATATATTAGCTAGCTATAACATGGACCAACGAAACTGAAGTGATTATTGATTCTCACATTCTAATACACAAACAAATCATACATGAGAGAATCACCTCAAATCTGCATATATGTGTAGTTTATCCATGCTGCATGTATTATTAAACAAAAGGACGGTGGCCGCGTTATTATATGGAGTACTTGTTTAGAATTTTTATTACTTAATTAATTATTCCTATTTATAGGAGTTTAAGTTTGAACTCTTATTTTGAGGATATGACATATGTTTTACTCCTATTTAGGGGTTTTCTTATATTCTTTTTCCGTCTTGGTCAATTGATTAAAATTCAATTGAAAACATATCACATTACCACTCTCCCTTTCTCGCACATTTTTTACTTGCGATCTAAAAATTAATGAATTGTTTAGTTGTGTGAAGATTGGATGGAAAGAAAATGGAGAGAAAAAACACATAATCCAACACATTTTCTCATGTTTAGTGGACGAAGAAAAGGTGGGGAGAAAAGAAAAAAAAGTAAAAAAAATAAGTCATGAACACAAGCCAAATTATTATTTTGCCATCTTTATTTATAACTACTCTACTTTAATTGATAATCCATCCGTTTTCAAAAATACTTCGTCCTTCATTTTTTTTCACTTCCAATAAAATACTTTAACTTTCTATTAAAAAACCACTTTTACCCTATCTATCACATCATATTTTTTCTCTAATAATCTATCCATCACATCTTACTTTTACCCATCATATCAAAGGCAAAATTGGAAGTCAACTATAATTTAACACTTTCTTATTTTTGCTCTAAGTCAAAATAGGAAGCCTTTTTGCAAATGGAGGGAGTATAAAATAAGGGTAAAAGAGAAGGGCAGCTCACCTAGGTTTATCGCCAATTTGGCGCCGCCCATTTAACACTGTCATCAAAAGGTTAATTACCTCACTCCACCTCCCCTTACCTGTCTCAATTTTTTCTCTCAAACAAGGTATGTAGCATAATAAACTTAATCTCACCCTACCTCCACCCACCTCAATCCAAACACACCCTAAATATGTAGTGAGAACATGAGCGGTATAATATTGATTTCTTCAAATAGTACTAATTTCTTAATTATTAGTAATAATCTTGATGTGTGTATGTTGGACGGTTATATTTGAAAATGTTAAAACTAAACGAAACATCAACGTTTCTAAAACCTAAATACGTAGTATGTAAAATATTTCCAAACGGACCTTGGATAACAGATGAAGTATTATCAAATAATTTGAAGACAATAACATTAATACTACGTCATTTTTTACACTAATTTCAGAATATTTGGTCAGGAAAAACAAGATGGGGCCACTAATGCACCAGTTAAAGATATGATGATTTGATAAACATTGAACCAACTTTAAGAACCCATAGAGCACTTTGAAAATATATATAATAGCCTAATAGGCACTTAAATAATTCGGAAACTTGTGAAACACTTTCGAATAAATATATATAATATAAGGACATTGTAATGGTTTTGTTAATCTATTTCCAAAAGAAAAGGTTGAACCTCATTTCCATCTCTACTATTTGATGCTTCCGATAACTTTGTGTTTGCGTACATATTTTCTTTGATTATTTTATAAGTGTAAAATAGAATGTCACTATTTTTTTTTGTAGAATATTTGATATAATTTTTAAATATGAAATAAACATTACATATTATTTTTATGCTAATTTATTAAAAAATAATTCAAAATAAATAAAATATTTCATATTGTTTAGAGAAGACAATAATTTAGGGGATAAAGCTATTTGTACCCCAAAGATTTGTACCATATTTTGTACACCGCAGGGATGCACCAATATTTTTTGTTGGTGTAGTGCTAATTTTTGTTAATACACCAACACTTTGTGTCAGTATAAACTTTTGTTAACGCACTAACATTTTGTGTCAGTGTAAACCATCAAAATATTGATATATACTTTTCGTGTACAAATGTCTTAATACAATTTTAAGGTACATGTAGCATGATCCTAATTTAGGAAAAGAGAATAGATAGCATTTTGGGTATCCATGCATTGAAAAGTGCAACAACAAAAAGAGGTGTCCCAATCAATTCAACAAGAAGTAGGTGTGCGTTTTGATTGCTCACAAATGTGCTAAACATAGGGTCTCTGCAAGTAACAAGTGTAAGTTTTATTCTTTGCCACTAATCTATAATTCAATTCCAATTTACTACGGGTCTGTTTGGGAATAGCGTTAGAGATTAGCGTTAGCGTTTTCAAAAGGCTATCTACGGGCAGCGTTTAGCGTTAGCGTTTTCAAATTAATCTGCACCGTTAAAATTTTATCCAAAACGCTAACGCTAATCTCTAACGCTATTCTCAAACAGGCCCTACATCTCTGTAATCGTCCAACCGGATCTCAGAGGATCTCCGGAATGGGGCTCGTCCTTTTTTTTAAACAAGAAAAATGGCAATAAACACCATCCTTTCTTAAAAGACAATAGATTGATTTGTTACTCGGGGCAATACAAATTGTTGTGAAAGTCTGTATGGGAGTGCTCGAATCAGTGAATAATAAATTGGGGTGTTAAATTACCTTTTGCCCATTTCAATTTACTCCAAAATTCAAGAAGAATATCATGTAGTGTTGGGAACAGGACAATTATTGTAGTACTAGAAACTATCGTCTTCTCCGGCGTATTTATTACACTGTTCCGAGTATTAGATTTAGAATGGTCCATATAATAAGGAGTAACTAGTATGTTAATCCAGGAGGAGTTCGTATATATTCTAAAATTTTGAAATTCTATAAATATAATTTTAGTTGTTTTAGTTTCCAAATATATATTGGTATGTTAATTTAAAAACAAAAAATTCTACAAAATTAATGGTCATTGAATTAAATATTAATAAAAATAGTTTTAATTAATAAAATATTTTAATAAAAAGTGGATTAATTACATAATGATACCCCATTAGAATATATGTATATATGTGTGTCATAATGTCACTTGTCAATTGTCATCCTTCAATTAAACCAATTTTCTTCTATTTACTTTGTTAAAAGATATATATGTAGCAATAAAATAAATAATGTAATAAGATAAATTTTTTTAAAAAAACTATTTAATTAATAAATATTAATATGTGATTAAATAAATATAATCATTTTTTGAAAAATAATAAACTAAAATAAGTTATGGATAGTATAAAAATAATTATATATATATATATATATATATGAAGTACGGAGTATATTTTACAATTGTGAAATATATATTTATAAAATTATTAAAAAATGAAAAAGTTTTATACAAATGTATTCAAAGATCTTTTTAAAAAAATATAAATGGACCAATGAAATGAAATGTATATATCCACCTCATTAGTGAATGCACATGTGGATACATATGTGGCATGCTACATGTCAACACTACAACAAATGAATTCTACTTTACATATATACTAGTATAGTATTTTTACCCGTGCCACGCACAGGTTCGGACAAATTTTTTTTATTCTACAATGTGAATCTTGATTTTTATTTGACATATTATTTAAAGATCAAATATAAAGGATTTAGGTTTGATGTATTTCTACAAATCTATAATTTTTTTAAAATGAAGTCAACAATGAAATACCTATGAATATTTTAAAATATTTTTGCAATTTTTCTTCGTGAAAACCCTTGCAACTATATTTGTTTTGTTTTTTAAAAAATAAATTCATATCAAGTGAAAAATTTATTGGATGTAAAATACATGTGATTATTTTTACGTGATAATTTTTTAAAATTTTATGTGAAAAAATGTAATTATTATTTTAGAAGTTAATTTTAAAAATTTATACTATTATTTTAATTATTTTAGAAGTTGATTTTATAAAATTTTTAATCAAAAAATGAATTTTTGTTCTCACTCAATTGCATAAAATTTCATGTAGATTCTAATTTCTTTAATAATACTCCCTCTGTGTTTGGATTTGACCTTCTCAATTGACTTTTTTTTGTCAATTTTGTATATTTTAACTTCGATATATAGAACTGACATAACATTTTTATTTTGATATTTTCTCCATATTTATTACTATTCTGGCACATAGTATTTTTTTCCAAAAAATTATAGCAACACTGCACATATGACATATACTCCATATATAACTTAAATTGGATCTATCCCTATTTTTATATCAAAATATTTTCTAATTAATCATCATTTGAGTAAAATCATTTGGCAAATCTACAGAGCAACATTTTAACAAATCACCCGCAACCTATTAACATCCTCTCCTTTGTAAATACTTTTATTCAAATGATGATTAATTGGGAGATAATTTGGTATTTTAATCATCTAAATTTAAAGTATATTCTCGAAATAATCATTTTGTACAACTAAATGTAAAATTTAAAGAATACATTGACTATAAATAATTTATGTATTATTTAAAACATAGAAAAAATATTTTAAATTTCAAACCAAATACACATCTTTAACTAGAAAAACCATTTTGGGAAAACACTTCATTATAAATGATCATTTTAAGAATTAATTCTAAATTTAATGGATAAAAAAATACCCAAATATCCTCAATTAATTCTCATTTGAGTAACATTATTTACGAAAGACCATTTTGAGAATAAATCTTAATTATAGAGGACCACATCGGTAATTAAAACTTATTGAGAATTGATTTGAGAAAACACCTTATTTCAAAGGACCATTTTGGAAATTCACTCATAAAATAAGAACAAAACTACTCCGTACTTTTTTAGAGTATTTTTTTTCGTTTTTGGAAAGAAGGAATATATGAGCTCGTGCCAAGCCAAACAAGCCACATCTAAAGAACAGAACTTATTGGGCCTTATTTTTGGAAACCGAAAGTATTTTAGTTTTGTTTTGGGCTTTTTAATCCGAACTCAGTTCGGACTTCGGATATGCTCTGCTTTATACATACGGAGTATTTCCATATCTGAAAATCTCGAAGCACGAAATATCGTTCTCGAGAAATCGGCAAATCGGTAAACATGCCGCCGAAGAAGATGGGCGTGAACAGTAAGGCGGAGGCATCTAGGGCCCGGAAGACCGCCGTCGAAGCCGAGCGGAAGGACAGGGAGGCGCGCGAGAAGGAAGATCAGTACTGGCGCGAAGCAGAGGGGTCGAAGTCGCGCGCGGCTAAGAAACGCGAGGAGGAGGCGGAGAAGCGAGCGGAGACCGCCGCAAAGAAGGCAGAGGCGCGCCGTCTCGCGCTACAGGAGGAGGAGGAACTGGCGAAGGCTCTGAAGAAGCCGGACAAGAAGGCTGATCGGGTCTCGATTCCCGTGAAGGTGACGGAGGCTGAACTCCGTAGGCGGAGGGAAGAGGAGCAGGTTGCGATTCAAAGGAGGGCCGAGGAGGAGAAGCGGAGGCAGGCCCGTGTCGCGGCTGAGGAGGAGTATGAAAGGATGGTTCTGGTTACAAATACGAACCGGGATGATTCCATCATCGAGGCCAGGTCTGTGGATGAAGCTCTTGCTCGATTGACAGTTGCAGAAAATTTGCCTGTGGATAAGCATCCAGAGAAGAGGCTTAAAGCTTCTTTCAAGGTATGTACGGTTCATCAAATTACTTGACGATGTTTAACAAAATTGAATCTCTAAATCAAATTATGTTCCTTTGATGGCATAACTGGATTTCCTAGAAATTGTTTGTGTCAACTCATCAAATATGTTTAACCAAGCTTCAAAAAAGACACTTTAACCTATAATTTGATCTGCTTAAAGTGAAATTCACTTTGTATATGTGTTATCTGAATTGCACGGAGACGGGGGCGGACACTTCTCTGAGAAACATCAATCTTTTCCAATTTCACAAAAGGATTTGGGTGTTGGGATGTCCCCAAGTATCCAAACGGGAATGTTTTGGGGCCTAAAACTGCTCTTATTTGAAGATTTTGTGCAACATATGTCTTAATACTGATGTACACTTCAAGAATGTTTCATAGACTAATAGTTGGACCCTTAAATGTTGTAGGCCTTTGAAGAATATGAGCTTCCAAGGCTGAAAGCAGATAAACCAGGGCTTACTCACACTCAATACAAAGACATGATTTGGAAGCTATGGAAGAAATCTCCTGATAATCCACTTAACCAGGTAACTTTTGTTCTGAGGAGTTGGATTGCTTAGGATGTGATCTCTCTCTCTCTATACATACATACATACATACATACATACATACATACATACATACATACATACATATACATATATATATATAATTGTGCACATCTGGTGAGTGGTGACTATTGTATTTTGAAGCTGATGAAGTGTTGTGTTTTACAAATTATGTTGTCACTAATGCAATATGGCCTTAGGAAGTTTGAGTATATAGCTTGTGTTTGCGTGATTTGGCTCCAGTTGTTTGGGTCCGTATGTGTGTTTCTCCTTTGCTCGTACTTTGTCAGCGCTACCGTGGTTTGTTTGTCCGTACTTTTGTTTTTGAGCCCGGGTCTCTTGGAAACAATATCTCTACTTCCATGTAGGAGTAATGTTTGTGTGCACATATAACCTCCCCAGACATGACCCTATCTTCTGGGGGATTTTACTGAGTTTGTATCTCTAGTTGTTGTATGTTGTCACTATTGCTTCTTCTAACTATGAATTGTTTCACATTATTTAAAATTAAATTATCTTAAATATCTAGAAGCACCATTAATAAAAGTTGATCTGAGATTCAAAAGGCTTGTCCATCAGCATCTACTTAAGCTCTAGGGCAGGAAAATACAGAGACTGAAAAATCAATCGATGACTTCATCAAAATGTACTGAGTTCAGCCTCCATAAATATGAAAGTAGTGCTTTAGCACAATGTCTTGTTCAAGGCAAGTGAAGGGAGGGGAATTTTTATCTCTTCCCCATGCTTGGGCAAGTAAAATATAGTAGAAGAGCGGGTGAAATCTGTTTTAAAATTTTAATCCTCACTCCCCTTCAAAAAGGGGTAATTTGGAACAAACACAAATAAACAATATTTTTGCATATACTAAAGTTACATCTTACCCTTCTGCCGCATACTACATCTATTCCTTTTTTTATTAACTTATAATTCTGGAGATGAGTATTCATAATTACATATCGTCATATCCCTATATTAAAATAATTCTCTAGATCATATATTTGTATAAAAATGTGACATATATCTAATATATACCAAATACTCAGTATACTTGTAAATAAATACTGAATTATTAAACCATTTGAATAACACATCTTCGGAGTATTATGCAGTATTGATTTTTTTAATGGGCAAGATGTTTATACCGTACCTTATGTACCATAATTTCCCTTCCCCCTCTTGTAGTCCATGTACCAAACAAAGTGGCATTATTATCCATATCTTCTTCTTTAGTACTCTATTCAAACAAGATAGTATAACATGGCAAAGAACTGAACACATTCTAACCTGGCAAAAAACATGTGTTTTTTTGTTGGCTGCTACTTGCTATGTTGCACGTAGACGTGACAGGTATTCATATGGGAATCGGGAAACATTTCCAAATTTTACAAATATTTTGTCATTCGTGTGTCGGGATTTCTCCAAGTGTACCCAAACGGGGACGAGATTCTTAGTTTGAAAAATACTTGCAACCCGGCCTGCTTGTTGCCGCCTAGTTCCTTTATCCGTTTTGCAGCACTTCTATCATTGAACACCGGCGCTTGAAACGAAATTTCCGTGCAGGTTGCAGATAAACCGTGAGTGTGTATTTGTTCTTCGAAGGCAGGCTGTTTCAATCGGGTGCACATCACACATATCTTCACGGGAGTGCAAAGTTATATGCCCCTTTGTCATCTTCTTTGAATGTCTGCTGGTAACCAGTGAAGTTATATAAGTTAATGTACTTGCTGTGATTGTTTTGATCCATGAACAATGCTCTACCATTCTTTTACTAACCTTATGTAATTAATGCAATAAGTTTTCTTCAATATCCCATTAGAGGTATGGTGAATAAGTTTGTGCTGGCTTATGGTCAAAAAGTCAATAGTTAATACTAATTGGTGCACTTGCATGAATGAAGGGTGCCATGAATCAGTTGCTCAAACACCTTTTTTTCTCTCTTTGGATGTGTTTGGGAATCATGCTCGTAATTAGCGTTTGTGTTTTGAGCAACTGATTCATGGCAAATAGATGCGTTAATAGTATATATGTTAAGTCTTGATGATAGATGAGCATCAAACAACACATAGTGCAAATGGTTGAAATTTATACACTTTTTTCGTACTTATTTTTGTTAGTCAATTAATAAAATACTCCCTCCGTCCCACAAAAAAGTTCCCATTTTGAATAGTATTTAGTCAAATATTTACACGCTTTGACTACAAATTGAGAGAAAGGTATATTGAATTATGAAATAAATTTTATATAATTGGATTAATCTTAAGATCTAGTTTTGATATCTCAATTTTTTTAATTTTTCTTTATTTAGATTATATTTAATTTAGGGTCAAAGTGTGCAACAGTTTGACCAATTTATGGTCAAAATGGGAACTTTTTTGTGGGACGGAGGGAGTAATACATAGTATAACTATATCATGACTTGTGTTTTTAGAGTTTTTGATGTATTTTTTAAAATTTAAAATTTTACTTTTTTAAATTTTGCCCCAATTGTCTTATAACAATAAACAAGATGCAAAGAGATCTTGAAAACAATAAACCTAGCAAGACTTGAATCAACACCAACAACAACACCAACCGAGTGAAAAAACACACAACTTAAATCCCACAAAATGCAATATAACGAATCGAAGGATTTAACGAATAACGAAGTGTATAACGAATAAAAAGCGTAAAGGGATTTTATATGACGAATCAAAACCTTTAAACTTTAAAGTCAGAGAGATTCATTCATTGTTTAGTTAATAAACTACAACTATACAATGCTATACAAAAGGGACATCTTAGTTAAATCCCTTTTGTCAAAAGAAAATGTCAGCTTGCTTTGATTGTGCTTTAAGGTCCTTCAACTTCTTCAGTATGTTTGTGAAGAAATCCTGTAGGTATTTCTCTAGGGTCACTATGTCCTTTGCATCCACACCCAGAGCCTTATACGTCTCGCCCATTGGAACAGAAAAAACATCATCTCTCGTTAAAACCTGGTGAAACCCAACACAAAAGGGACTCGTTATCTTCAATCCATCAAAAACTGTTTTTCATCTCCCAAAAGTTACAAAATGGAGTTTTAGGAGCAATTGGAGCTTTTAGAATACATTTGTACACTTTTGCTCCAAGAATTATTCGTATTATATGCCCCTCCGTCTAAAAATGAAGTTCACAATCTGACTTCACGAAGTTTTAAGAGAAGTGTTGAAAAGTAGAAGGTGTTTGGTAAGTGAAAGGTGTAAACTTCATTTTAGAACATTAGGAAAAGGAAAGTGTAAACTATCAAGAATGGGATTGTGAGTTGGCGTATGAAGAATGGGAGTGTAAACTATCAAGAATGGGAAAGTGTAAACTATCATATTAGAACACACCTCAGAGAATGCCAATCTGTCAGCAACGTCGTTTGTCCACTCAAACAAACGAGTGAGTTGGCGTGTGAAGCGCAAAACTGAAACAGGAACTGTGGTGACATTTGCATCTTGCCCCGCAAGCCGCTCACACAATGTTATCACCTATATGCATACAAACATAAAACCAAACCCGTGATGCAAAGAAAAACAGTCTTCATAAGTGGGTTAAACTGGGGGAAACAGTCTAATGCATTGGTTAGCTTCCTCCATCCCATAAAAAGAGCCATATTTGAAGATGCTAATTTTCATTATATCCATAGATTTGAACTTTAAAAATTAGTCCGTGTGTCTAACTAGTTAAATACGATAAATTTAATTAGATCAACAAATAAATTTAAAAATATAGTTTCAGCATCCTGTTGAGGTTTTCCTACTTGTTCAGGCAGAGATTGAGAAATTCCAAAATTGTTTGGTATCATTTGTTTAGATAACCATATGATAACCACAAAACTGTTAAGATAACCACAAATTTGTTTTTCCAACATGATAACTACACATTTCTTTTCCTAAAATGGAAACTTAAAAAGTACTTTGGAACGGACAAAAAGAATGGCGAAAACCCCCAGTAGGACAGAGGGAGTAGTTTTGATTATTTCTACGGGTGGACCAGTTGAACCTCACAAAAATTAAAAAGATGTACATTCTTGAAATAGGACTTAATAACGAGGAGGCCGTGTAACTTATTATTAGCGGAAGTTTCTACATAGATAACATACTTGAGCAAGTTTTCGCGTGGAAAAAACAACTAAACAAAACAAACCCAGTGAGACTCAAGAATAGGGTTTGAGGGCAAGATGTATGCAAACCTTCTACCCCAATGGAGTAGCGAGGCTGTTTCCGAGAAGACCTCTAACAAAGAGTGCTACATTAGAGATTTACCTCTTGTGTTGTCCAAGCCCGAGGACCGGCAAAGGTTAGAAGCTTCCCATTGATATTCTCGTTGCGCAGAGCGATGAATGTCAATCGAGCAATGTCCTAGACAACATAAGCGCACACTCCTTAAGAAAAAAATACAATTCGGTGCTGATGTGAAGGAAGAAGGTAAGAAAACTAACCTGTGTGTCCATGTATGCTATTCGAGTAGGGGCATTAGTTCCCCATACAGATTTCTCTTCTAATATAGGCACAGCATATTGTCCTACCAAACCCTACAAGAAAAGGGTCAACAGGAACGTAAGTAGCTGTTACCTAGACACTTTTTCGACTTATAAACCAGAATTTTTACTAAACATTAGTTTCTTTGACATACTCCTAAACTAGTAAATAATTATAATACATATTTGGTTGAAGAGCTGGGCTGACAAAAGGTAACCTATTTGCTGAAGATTGCATCTTTTTTTATTAAAAAAACTAAGGGTTGACATTTTACTGGCCAGCCGGGATGAATACCTGCATAAAGCCACATAGGCGAATGATGATGTGGTTCATACCACAACTTTGAAGAAACTTCTCAGTACAGAACTTGATCTCCATGAGAGGAACTTCGGGATGCTTATCGCAGTTGTGAATTGAGAAAAAAACAAACTTCTGAATGCCCATTGCCTTTGCACACTGTATTAGAGCAACTTTCCCTTCCCAATCTACCTAAAATTGAATGTGTAGTTCAAATGGTATTTAAATATCCCCACCCCATAACCGTTTGTTCAGAAGCCGGTTTTGTGAAGGAAGAAAAACAAAGTGCAGACCCCCCCATAAAATGCCTACCGTTTTTATGGGTTCCTCAGGACGCCCAGTTGCACAGTCGATAACTGTATGGATCCCAACCAATGTAGCCGGTATTGTCTCAGGTTTTCTCAAGTCTGCCTGCTCAGAATAATCACCTCTTAGACAACACTTTGTTTATCTCTTAATGGTTTCTACAGCTTATTGACAAGCAATAGTCTTACTTTTTTTCATGTATCTTATTCAATAAACTTCTTTCCACATTAAGGCTCTGTTCTTTTCAGTTTGAAAAATTAACTTCCAACTTTATCAAACACCATCCGGTTTCTTCCAACTTCTTCCCGTTTCTTCCAACAACGGCTTAAAAAATGTACTCTGTATTTAAGTATGATGACTATACAATAATATTATATATCCAAATTTATAACATAACACCTCAAATACGGATAAAGATGAATTCTTCTATATATCCAGAATTAGTTTTCTTAAGTGTTTTTTGGGTGATCATTTAATTGAGTGATTTTTTAACACTTTATTTTTTCAACATTTCCCAAACCCTTCCAGTTTCTTCCAACTACTTTCAGTTTCTTCAACTTCTTCCAGTTTCTTCCAACATCTTCCAGTTTTTCCAACTTCCAAATTTAGAATTCCAATTGAAAAGAACAAAGCCTAACTACCTCAACCTTTTTCCACATTGACAGCATTCTATTAAGAGAGAAAGGACTCACATTGACAACAGTGGCACCCCAATCACGGAGAAAGTCAGCTGGAGAAGGCCTAGCTCTGACGAGGCACCTGACGTCATACCCCTCGTCCAGAGCCCTCCTCACGATCTGTCTTCCTAGGGTTCCGGTGGCCCCTACGACCAGTATGCTCGTCCGGCGAACCGGAGTTCCAGGAGCCACATCCAGAACGCTCTTCTGCGAATCACACGCAATCCTCGCCGCCCTGTGATTTCTGCCTAAATTATACACTCCGCCGCTTCAAAACTCTGCGTTTCGCTCCAAAAAAAAAACGAATCTCGGAAATTGAGTAGGAAATCGCGAGTAGAAGCAGCGCGCGTACCTCTGGTGGAGGAATGAGGGGGAGGGAAGAGCGGGGACTCCACCGCCCTTCGCCGGGAAAAGGAAAGCGCGTGGTACTGCTCAGCCGGTTGTTGGCGGCGGTGAATGCTGCTGAGTTTGATGGAATGGGCGGCGGCGTGGAGGGGAGAAGCCATCGCCGGACCGATCTGGGGAAAGGAAATGCTAGCAGGCGCGCGCAGTAGTAATCAACATAGGAAGCTAATTGGAGGCGAATTGATTCAATGGAGATGGAAGACGAAGAGAAGGCATTAGCAGAAGAGAAGAAGAAGAAAACAGAGAAGCAAAAGGTGGGAAAGATGCCACGTCCTCTCCTTGTGTGTCTGGATTAAGGAATTAATGAATTATTGTTTGGATAATGCTATTTATACCCAATTTTGGGCATGTTTGGGAATAACGTTGGAGATTAATGTTAGCGTTTTGAAAAGGCTATCTACGGGCAGCGTTTTCAAAATAATCTGCACCGTTAAAATTTTATCCAAAACGCTAACGCTAATCACTAACACTATTCCCAAACAGGCCCTTTGTACATTGCAGAGATGCATCAACATTTTGTGTTAGTGTAATGCCAATTTTTGTTAACGCACTAACACTTTGTGTTAGTGTAAATTTTTGTTAACGCACCAACACTTTGTGTCAGTGTGAACTATCAAAATATTGGTGCATACTTTTGGTGTACAAATGATATACAAATTTTGAGGTACATGTAGCATGCTCCTTATTATATGACCCTCGCGCAAATAAGTTTTTTTTGTATCAACAATTTTTTGCATGTGTCAAACAACAAAATGATTCTTTTGACACTTGAACTTCGGATCACATTATGACCCGGGATTCCTAAGATGCTACATTCATAAAATTGATATTTCTTCACACTCTCTCCCAAATCATCCATTGACTACACTAACTGTAATGAATAAGTGATTTGGGAGAAGGGAGACGGGGTGCTGGGGTGGGGTGGGCAGGTAAGAGGCAAAGGTAGGATGTAGAAAAGATTTATTGAAGTTGATTTTTTTATTTTCTAAGAATAGCTAAAAAAGATTGAAATTTACTAAGATATCATTAATGAAAAGTATTCTTAATATTTAGAAATGTACTAAATAAAATATGTGAAGATAATTATACTCTCTTTGTCCAATTTAAATTTACTATATTTGATTGAATTTATTTTTAAAATGTTTTATATGAAAAATGGTACTCGGTACAAAATTTAAAAATAAAAATTATATGTTAAAATACCACATTAAAAGATCTATAAAATATGTGGTGACATTACTATATTATTTTATCAAATGACTAACGAACACAGAGAAATGAAATGAATGAAGTTTAGCCATGTGAATAGTAAACATTTAATTTAATTTGTTACGAAGGGAGTAGTATTTTAAATGTTAAAAAAAGTAATAAAAAAATTCTTTTCTAGAGAAACAAAAAAAATGTTCAAAAAAATCATAACGAGTACTAAACTTTCCAGTTACTATTACAATCTTCGAACACCGGATTATATTTTCATCCTTCAAAAAAAAAGAATTGAATTTTCAATTTCATTAAGTTAGGGCGTTAGGGCCAAAAGAGAAGCTTGGAAGTAACCGAATTGGGGCAAACCTTTCACCTTTGGCTCTGGTTTCAGTTGCCTGCTTCCGTTCCACCACAAGAGCTAAGAAGCCAAGCAACAACAAAAAAAAGGAAAAAAAAATCAAATCTTTTCCCCCAGTTCGCACAGTCTCCTCTTCCGCTTGCTTTCTATGCTGCGGAATTGCTTGGTAAGAATGCTCCAAATTTTTTCCAGTTTTTATTTCTGCACTTTACCCTGAGATAATGGCAATCGTTTCACGAAATCCCAATTATTCACTCAATAATATTGCACAAATTTTATCATGTAATCGAGAAGATTTTTGCTTTGTTCCTAATTTGTTTTTGTTTTTATAATTATTTTGCTGCGGATGATTGAATTAGTAATCAATTTGGGGATTATGAGGGTTAGCCTCTTTTTGATGAATCTTATACTTTGATCACTTAAGTATTATGATATTGTGTGCTCTAACCTTTTTTTTGCTTCGAGTGGAGAGGAAGGTACGGAAACGGTAGGGTTTACAAAATGTTATGTTAATGTAGAGGAGTTTTGGTGAGAAAAGTGAAAAGGAAATAAAGGAACGAGACCATCTTTCTCCAATGGCATGAGTGTATGAGGAGTTTGGAGGAGGCCATGACTCATTCACTTTCTTCCCGTCCCGTCCCCGGAGCTCCCCCAACCGAACACACAACACTCCTTTCGTTCTCTCAAACGTCCTTCAACCAAACAAGGGGAAAGAGTAAAAGTTGGATTTGGTCAATTATCTTGTCATCTATGTTGCATGGATTCTTCGAACAAGTGTCAAGGAAACCAACTCAACCAAAAACTCTAGCTTGTGGTTGTCGGCCCAAGATAGGTGTTATATTCTAACACGCCCCCTCACGTGCAGACGAGGTTTATTTTTTCTCAAGTCTTGCACGTGAAAATTAATTTTTTAAAAGTGGGTGGTAATGAGATTTTAACTCATGACCTCTTGGTTATCAAGGTTCTGATACCATGTCAAGGAAACCAATTCAATCAAAAGCTCAAACTTAGGTTGTAGGCCCAGGTTAGGTGTTATACTCTACCAATAAGTGACACTTCTTGTCCCCAAAACATCCCCATTTGGGTACTTAGGGACGTTCCCAGCCCTGTTCCCGTCTGAGTACCCGTGCCGGTCTCCGTGGAACTTGGCTTTTCATAAACTTGTACCTATGGGAGAGCTTGCGGTCAGTAATCTTTGGGTGTGACTGCTGAAAATCAACCCGCGCCCTCACCGGGTTGGTTAACATGCACAAACACACATGCCCAAATATAGAATTTCTCTTTGGGGGTTGCTTATTTGTTGTTATGGATAAACATGTAGCAAAAAAAGTCACAATTTCAATCCCACCAATGCCTTTTGAGTTGGATAATGCATATAAAGTTAGTTTTCCTTAAAATGCATCCAATACTTTCCCAATAATTTGCATCATGAGCTCGAAAATGCAGATGAAATTGATATACTGAGTTTGAAGCAAATATTCCCTCACATTTTTCTTTCTTCTGAGTTTTCTTTCTCTGGCATTTCACAGGTTCCAAACACACCCTAAGTGTTCCATATTTTTTTCTAGATGGACCAACAAATAGCTGTTTCTAAAGTCGGAGAATATGGGGCAACTGCTGAAAGCGGTGTGCCCAATTCTGACAAACCACCATCAGTTCTAGGAGCTACTAAATTCTTGACATTGCAAGAGGAGGGTAGGGGCCCCACAGGTGAAGCTTCCAAGATTTGTGGTTCCAAAAGAACCACCCCGGATTGCCCCGTAACCATCAATTCCGGAAACGGGCATCTAGTGTATGTCCGAAGAAGACCCGAAGTGCAGACGAAGGACATCAGTAAACCAGAAACATTGGAAATCCCAAAGGCCTCATTGTTGCCTGCCAAACAACCTTCGGCGATTTCTTCTCCTTCTGAAAAATGCAATAATCTTTCATCGAACATTGGTAATGTACATTTGTTGGATACTCCTAAGAGAGCGAAACTTAAGCAGTGGGAAGAGCGGTATTGCAGGTTGCAGAATTTGTTAAGTAGTTTGGACCAATCCAAGCAAGAGGATTACATCGAGAGTATGTCCTCAGTCTTCTTAACAGTTGACACCCATTTGGCTTCAGGTTCTTAGGTTCTGTTTGAAGGGATGATTTTGGAGGGCTTTGTGTATATTTTTGTATATTCTCCTTATTTATGATTTTATATAAATTATAAAGATTTATATGTAAGAATATGATCAAGTCCTTCAAAGCCTCCCCATCCTACACCTTCCATGCAAACAAACCCTTACACTATGATTGGTTCAAGAAATTTGAAAGGGAAAAGAAAAGAAAATGAAGTGGAAAACAATTTTTCTTGTTTGGTTAGAGGGGGGAAAACGGAAAATGGAAGGAAAAGAAAATGAGAAGGCAACTAAGTGGAGGAAAAACCAAATTCCTCCGATTTTGGTGAGGAAAATGAGAGAAAATCATTTCTTTTTTCTTTTCCTTCCAAATTCCTTGAACCAAACATAATGTTAATGATTTTTTAGGTGTCTGCTGTTTCTAACTTCAAATATTTTTCTTATACAGTGCTTAGATCACTCTCTTCGGTTGAGCTCAGTAAACACGCTGTTGAACTAGAGAAGAGGGCAATACAGCTTGCTTTTGAGGAAGGTAACCCAAACACTAATTGTTATTTTAAGCTTTAACCACACACCTATTTACCTATTTAATTTCTTCTATGCTATTTCCACTTAGATCCCTAGATATAGGTAGAAGTCACATTTAAGGCTCAGAAGAGAATTATTAAAATCCACATATGCTTCTCTTTAGTGAAAATGAGCGGTAATATAGGGATTAGACTTGAAGGAAAGTAAAGTGTGAAGATAATTCAAAAAGTTTGCGAGGAATTGTTGGGCCATCCATTACTGATGGATCTAAATTAGAATGACACAAAATCTCCCTTGCATCTTACTTTTTATGAAGTTTGGGGTAGTAAAGATCAATATATAAGAATATGTGTAACTCCTCCCAATTGGGTTTGTGATGAAATCTCACAATGCCACGTGGTGCATCGGAATTGAGGCTTATGAGCTCAAAATAAAAGGTTATGTCCATTCGAGCAAACAAAAAAGATCCAAGTTGTACTTAAGGGAATGTTGAGGATATAAAGTCCCACATTGTTAGAATATAAAACATATCTTTGGGCCTACCACCACGCGCTTTAGCTTTTAGTTGAATCGATTCTTTGACATGATATCGGAGCCTTTGTTGGACAAGAGGTCACGAGTTTGAAACTTAGCGCCAACCGGTTTTAAAAAATTAATTTTCACGTGCAAGCTAAGGCTTGAACTTGTGGTTGAAATGGTTCCTTTAACATTATCAAGGAACCAATTCATCCAAAAGCTCAAGCTTGTGGTTGTAGGCTCGATCAAGATATGTTTTATATTCTAACAACGTAGAGCATATATTATGAATTAATCCTCTCGTTGCTAATTGGTTTTAGGACGAAACCTCACGACTCTACACCGAGTCTCCAACCTTAAAAAACATACTTGGTTGTTGTTATTTGTTATTTGTTGGGATTGAAATGATTTTTGTTGTTAAAAAAATGGCTCAGCAAAAGAGATGCGATGGGTCAAAGTGTTGGATGTGATGGGGAAGGATTGGAATTCCAGAGCTAAACCTCAATAACAAAAGTGACACACAGATGAATTAGGAAAGGAAGATCATACTCCAGTGAGGTTTTTTTGTTCTTTTTTCTTGAAATAATTAATTAATTACTGAGTATAATTTTAACTTTTAAGCCAGATGATGTATAGTGCACGTATGATTTTTAACCTCAAACACCCAAAGTAAATTGTACTCCGTATCTTATTTAATCACGTTACGTGAATATATTTTTTATCCTAATACTTTATAATGGGTAAATAATTGTAGAAATGTTTGCATTTTACTGCATCAACATATTGCTAGACATATTGCTATCATATTTGAATTGACATTTATAAACCCCAAAGTTTTAGGAGTCCAAATTTCTTTGTTTCAAAACCTATAAAATTGATTTTATATTATATACCTTAACATTTAAAACATTGTGACATTGGAGTCCTATTTTTCATGTGGCCTTATGCAAATGCATCACCTAGAGAGTCCCAATGGGCAGACCTTGTAGAATAAATTGAAATATTTTTTTTGTAATTTAAACAGAATTAAATAATGTAAAATTTGCACTAAATACGACTAAAACATAATGACTTTCCCAATGTAGAACTTAAACTTTTTTATTCCCTAAATAGGACTTAATAATGACCTAGTGGGAGGAATAATGTCTAGTAATGATGGACATTTACTTGAATAATGACTACTTGATAATGACTAAAAGTCCTACATTGGGAAATAAAAACATATGGTCCTATATTAGAAAAATCATTATGTTTTAGTCCTATTTAGGTAAATTTCTCTTAAATAATGCAAAAATGAATTTAAGTGAACGAAATCACAATATATCACGAAATTTACTCAATCAATATCAGAAATTTATTGACGAAGGTATCCCTCACATTGCTGATATTATATCACGCGAAATGTCATTTGAATATTGGTCATTTCCCGGATTTGCCCCCCTCTTATACATAAATTTCATTTGGCACTTATTTAGTATTTATTTATATACTACGGAGTATTTTTTTTTAAATTTTTGTGTAACATCAAAGAAGATTAAAGTAATTAAGAGGGGTAAGATGGGAACACACACACGTTCCCACTTTGGCATCGTGTAGCTGGGGATCGGAGGTTTGTTACTTGTTAGTACAAAGCTCAAGTAGTGACTAGTGGGGAGAGAGGGGGCAACTAATTTACTGATATAAATAATAATAATAATAATAATAATAATAATAATGGTGGGAATCTAGTGACACCGGAGTACGGTGCTACTAGCGGTGCCACTGGCATTTTGATGCACCTTCGGTGCTCCGTTCGTAAAATTGACCATTCCTACCCCTCCTAACCCACCCCTAAACCCCTCACCCTATCCCCGCCCCTGCACCCCACCCCAACCCCGCCGTAAGCCCCCACAAATGTGTGGCCACCGGAGGGGCACTATACTCCAGTGTCACTAGAACCTCAACGTAATAATAATAATAATAGTAGTAGTAGTAGCAAAAAGAACAACAAGACCAACAACATTTTTTGAAACAACAACAATAATAATTTTTTTGTGCAACTATCACATTGAATTCCTTTTTTGGAACACCGAGAGTGAGAGAGTTAGCGACTAATGGTCTATTTGGCACGAGCTTGAACTTTTTGAAAAGACAATCCGAAAGTAAACATGTAATTTTAACACTTTCAAAATTAAGTTTTAGAGCTAAAACTTTCCAAAACAAAGCCTAGGAGTACTTAATAATTACTATTATCAAATTAATGTTCTACAAACTACTTTATTATTCACATGATCAAATTATATATATATATATATATATATATATATATATTCATTGATTATTTAATGATATAAAATGCTGAAGCAAGTTATCTTTTTATAACTTTTAATACTTCATTTAATTTTTAAATATTACAGAGTGCTCCGTTAGAGTTTATTTTTTTAATTCTAAAACAACTTTTAAATATATTGAATAAAAAAGAATTCAGCAAGATATTTCTATTAATGAATGAGTCGACGAAAAAAAGAAGAAGCTACTAATAGTAGAAATAAAATACATATTCCCTTCTCTCAAAATAAATTTCATTCTTAGACTTGGAAGAGTTTAAGAAAATGTTGAATAATAAAAAATTATGATTAAAATTTATTTAGAAAAGAGCAAATTTGGGAACAATATGTTTCATTGCTAACTAGGAAAAAAATGTTAAATTTATTTCGAAAAATAATTGTGAAGTGGTAAAGATGAATTATATGGGTGAATTATGGATACATTGGATAGAGATGGACAACCGAAAGTAACTACCCACAATAACCGCTCTCCGGATTACGCTTACATAATTACCGCTTAAGCCTTCCCTGCAAACTTTTCTGCATCTTTCTCCTAAATCCTCTGCAAATCACTCCAATTGCTATCCACGGCCACCATGAACATGAACAGTAGCAGCTTTACTCCGCCCGTGCCGCCGGCAGCGGCAGCGCGGCCCATTGACGACAATGCTGCCGCCGCCGCTCCTCCGTCTTTACAGATGGTGGCGGGGGCAGTCCCCTTCAACATGCATCCTCCGGAGCAGAAAGTGAGAAGAAGGCCCAAATATCCTCCCACCACCACGGGTGCCGCCAAGAAGTCACCGTCAACGCAGCAGGACCCACCCGGGCCGTGCACCGAGTGCGGGAAGAGGTTCTGGTCGTCCAAGGCCCTGTACGGCCACATGCGCTGCCACCCGGAACGGACGTGGCGGGGTATTAACCCCCCTCCCAATCTCAACCGGGGGCGGCTACCCCAGCCTCCGGATGAAGACTGCCTCCCCAGTAGCAGTCTTCCCTTAGGGCTGCCCCAGCAGGGGGCTCTGTCCCTACTCCCATCCCCACCCTTACACTGTCATAACCACTCCCAAAAAATGACAGAGGAAGAACACGACGTGGCGGCATCCTTGTTGCTGCTGGCTCAAAGGGAGACTACCAGCCAGCAGTTCTACCGAAACACGGTCGACCGGGCCCACGTCGAGGGCAGTTTCGGGATTAGCAGAAATGACAAAAACAACGAAGATGGGGAGATGGTGATTAACCTTAAAAGCCACAAATGCAGCATCTGTTCAAGAGTTTTCTCCAGTGGCAGAGCCTTGGGTGGACACAAGAGATGTCACTGTAGCAGCAGCGGCGGCGGAGGAGACTATCGTCTTCTTCTACGTCGTCCTCCGCCGCCTCCCCTCGCCTCCTCTTCTCTGGCAGGCCCCACTGTTAATTATCTGGATTTGAACTTCTTGCCGCCGCTGCCACCACCTGCAACTCCTGCTTTCCATATGCAAGGGGAGGATCCTTTCTATTACTACTACTCAATACCCTCTTCTTCTTCTTCTTCTGCAACCCTTCCTGCTTTAGATTTGAGGTTGGGACTCTAATTTGGCTCAACTCAAAACATATCATACTCATAATTTGTATACTATATATAAGCATACTATAAGTTTAGCTAGTACTTCATGTATATATGCAGGAGTAGGACAATATACATATATGTAGTAATTATTAATTAACTCATAAATTTGTATGTATTATGTAATCGTTAGATTGCCTTAAATTACTTGCCTGGAATGTTTACTTCAGAAATTCTTCAATATTCATTCTTCTCATCAGCTCATATATCCCATATTGTACTACTAAAACCTGAACATAAAATACAATGTGATATGGAGAATAATAATACAATCAATGCATTCAATGAAACTTGCTCGAAAAATTCATAGGAAGGAAGTCGATGAAGAAGTTACAAACCTTTTTATCCTATAAAAAAAGTTACACACATTTATAAGCGGATCATACTTACACAAGTGTGTGTTATAGTGATGATATTGATTCATACAACAACAGCCCAGTAGGATCCCGCAAAAGTGGGGTGTAGGGACTAGGGAGGGTGTGTGTACGCAGACCTTACCCCTACTAGAAAGTGGAGAGGCTGTTTCCAAGAGACACCCAGATCGAATGTTGATCCAATAAATGTTACATACCCCTCCCCCCACTCACATACACACACATACTATTGCCTACACCGAGGCCATGATATTCACACGCACACACTATCTCTTGATATTGATCCTCAAGTGTCCCTAGTGCTTAATGCCGAAGCCTTGGCTTTTCTTGAGTGCCAATGCCAAAGCCTTCCATGATAGTCGCGGTTGAAGCCTAGGCTCAGCCTGCCCCGAGGACCGGGGCCTAGCAAGGAGTCGATCAGACCATTGACTTATATCCATCAATGTGTGTGTGTGTGTGCCACTGCCATCACGAACTAGGATACGGCATTCATCCTTGTCCACCACCAACAAAGCCTTCAATTGGTTCACTTGCTTGAACAATGTCACCTATAATTCTGCAGTTTAATTTACTGAAGCCGGTTTACCAGTGCGGGAAATTGACCAAAAATGTCATCCTTCAGGGGATGTATACTAGCCATGCATATTTTTACCCCAGCCATTGATTACCCTCTTCAAGTTTCTCATTGCAATTGCACTACCATCATCTCTGTACAAATAGGTCAAAGTGTTAATATAACAGTTGTGTGAGAAAACAAGAATTACCTTTTAAAAGGATAAGTAGAGTTGACCAAAATTGCCTTTTTTCGTTTTGTTTTGTTAGGGTATTTAACAGAGAACATGATTCATCACAGCATAAAGGTAAGCACTTGTAAGTTGTGATTGCTAGAATTGTATAAAGCAAAAAGAGAACCCAAACACATTGTTATAAGATGGGTGGAGAGAAGTTAAAAAAAGGAACCTTTGCACAATTTTCTGCCACTCAGCTGTTCCATTCATATCATCTCGTCTCTGTCTATTTGACTCCGTGTTATTTTTGTTGGCCTTGCTTCCATCCTTACATCTAGAAACCATCTCCATCATACACTTTTCAAGTTCATCAGATTCATGTTTTTTCCTTGTTCTACGTAAACCATCAATAACCGGCAAAAATGATGCAGGATCAAACACATATCCGCAACCCATCATCCTCTTCAATACGGCATGCCCACTTTCAAGATCCTCTCCCTTGCAGAGTTTGTCAATAAGATCTTTGTAAAGGAACTCACTCACATCAAAGCGTTTATCTAGTGATGCTTCAAATAGTAACTTGGCATCCAAGATTTCTCCTCCGACAAGCAGCTCGTTGAACATTATTTTATAAAGAGTTTCTTTGTGGCCATAGATACTTAGTCCGATCTGAAACACCTCTTGTGCCGGTCTGAACTCTCCAATCCCACAGAATGCTTTAATTAACAGTTCAAATGTATGTGTATTAGGCAGTGTTTGTTTCTCCAACATTTCTTGTAGAAGATGAGTGGCTTCTTCGGTTCGTCCTTCTTCACACAGACACCGGATCATGATGTTGTAGGTGTGAACGTTTGGAAAAATCCCTCTTTCTCTCATTTCATCCATCAGTCCGAACATTTCGAATATTTGATTCTTGGACCCCAATCCAAAGATGAGAGAGTTGTAAGTTTGCAAGTTCTTCTCACACCCTTTTCTCTCCATGTCCTTTACAACCTGAAATGCAGATGCTATCTTACCCTTCTTGCACAAGTGATGCAGTATAGTATTGTAAACGACTGAATCTGGAAACAGTTTTCTCTCCATCATCTCAACGAATGACTTCTTAGCTTCACCTAGTCTCCCATCCTTACATAAACAATTGATAATGGTTGAATAAGTGATCAAGTCAGGAAAGCATTTCTTTTCCTGATTGAGAAACAAATTTCCCAAATTGCCCAGAAGAGCTGCAGAAGGACTTCCGTGATTCCACATTTCCCCAACCATTTCTACCGCTTTGTCCAACTTCCCTGTTCTACACATGCCATCAATCACAATATTACAACTCGCAGTATCAAAAGGGTAACACCTTTCATCCATCTTTTGTAACAACATCTTTGCTTCTGATACCTTACCTTCTTTCCAAAGACTGGACAACAAGACGTTACAGGTGTGGGTATTAGGGTTACACCCACTTTTCTTCATGTCAATCAGAACATTGTTCGCCTCGGTGACTTTGCCTTTTAAGCAGTAGGCATGGAGGAGAGTAGTGTAAGTGACCGTGTCTGGGTTGACCCCATTGGATTTTAATAAGTTCATCAATGATCTAGCATCAGCAACCATTCCATTCTTGCAGAGACCATGTATCACGATGTTATACGAATAGATATTCGGTTCTACTCCGTTTTCCACCATTTCTGTCAAAAGAGATTGAGCCTCAGACAGTTTTGCATTCCTCACCAGCCCAGCAAGCCAAATATTGTAACTATTGACATTGGACAAAAAGCCACGCCTCTTCATGGACTCAACCATGCCTCTTGCTTCCTCCAACATCCCCTCCTTGCAAAATCCTTCCAACATCACATTAAAGGTTATATTATTAGGCTTTGGCAACCCATAGTCCCCAGCATCATCTGCTTCCATATCCCTGAAAATCCTTGAAGCTTCCAAAACCTTCCCGGAGTCACAAAGAGCTGAAATCCTTGAGTTGAAGGTAACGACATTTGGAGCAAGCCCATCCTCATCTCTCATCCTCTCCACTAGTTTCTCGGCTTCACACGTTTTGCCTTCCTTGCAAAAGGTTGAAATCAAAGTGTTGTATATCACCATATTAGGACAGACGCCCGTCTTCTTCATCAACTCCAAAAGTCCCAAAGCTTCAAAAGAAAGCCCGGACGAACAGTAACCTCGGATCAAAATTCCAAAAGTGTACTCATTAGGCTCGCACCCTTTCTCACGCATTTTGTCAAACACCTTGCGGGCATCCTGTAAGCAACCGGAATCGCAGAGACCAGCAAAGAGGAGGTTGAACGTGTAAGTCTGGGGAGAAACACCAGCTAAAACCATATCCCTATACAACCAAGAAGCATCAGAAGTTCGCTTCAGAGAGGATTCAATGAGGAGATTGTAAAGAGAGACGGGGGGTTGTCGATCTGGGAAGCGGGTCCTCACGGACCGGAAGATAGAAACGGCGCGGCCAACGTGGCCGGCTCCGGCGACGATTTTCACGACGGCGAACAGAGCGGGAAGCAAGGCGGAGTCCGCAGGTCGCCGAGAAAGGAGGAAGTCGCTGAGAGAGCTGAGTTCGGAGAACATTTTGGCGCGTACGAGGATGCGGGCGATGGGAGGGATCGACCGGAAAGGCGGCGGCGGCGAATGGGGAGCAGAGAGCGCGGCGCGGTTGAAGATGAGCCATGCCAGCTTCGGATTGTTAGAATTCTGGATGATGACCTTAGCGAGTTTTCTGGCTTCTTCCATGGAGAGTAGTTCATACCATCATAGTGTGCACTATAGTTTAAACGGTTTAAAACAAAATGAGGGCCTAATTTCAATAGATAATTTATTTAAATAGAAATAAGTCAGAATAAGTTTTTTAATATAGAATCATATTTTTTTATTTTTTAATATAATATCATTGGTCATTATTCATGAGTCATTTTTCAAGTAAATGTTCACCATCACTGGATATTATTTTTTCCCCCACTAGGCATTATTAAGTACTCCGTACTATTTAGAGAATAAAAAAAATTTAAGCCTTATATTAGAAAATGACTTATGTTTTAATCCTATTTAGTGGAGTACAAATTTTATAATTTTAAAAGATATTCTTAACGAATGTAATAGTCTTTAATAGTTTTGATTTTAGACATATCTGAAGATGTGGTAATAGTCTAGCTCATTCTTTAGTAAAATTACAACGTACGGATTAGAGAATAGATTATGGTTAAAAGGTGGTCCTAGTAAAACTTTGAAATTGATTGAAAGAGATGTATGTAACCTTTTATAGTGATGAATGAACATTTGTATAAAGCTATTTGTATCCCAATTTGTACATTGTCCACATGTATCTTCATTTTGTATTAGTGTAATGTCATAGTCATAGTTCATACAAACATAAAATGTTAGTGCAATTTTTTGTTAGCACGCCATTATTTCATGTTAGTGTAAATTATCGAAATGTTAGTATATATACTTTTACTGTAACTTTAAAATATATTTTTTGGTGAAAGTGTAACATGGTTGATGAACATTTAGATGTGTTTGGTGATAAAAAGAATACTATTCTAAACTTCTAACTTCATCCCATGACATTGAGATTTAATATCACTAGAAAGCAAGGTGAACTTTTATTCAGGATGAATGAACATTTACAGAATTGGACCATGCTAGGTTGCCACCACATGAGTGCTACTATGGGTGCACCCATGCTTCGCACAGACAAACACAGACGATAATTGTCTGTGCGACATACACAATTATCGTCTCTGATTGTCTGTGCGAAGTATGGGTGCACTAGCACCCATGTGGTGTGGTGGCACCCTATCATTTTTCTAGAGAATTATAGGTGTTTGGTGATAAAAACAAAAAAAACACTATTCTAGAACCAGTAGGATTAAGATCAGCAACTAGCACCGTTCCGACCGAATGAGACCCTCCCTAGCTAAAAAGAGGGAGATTTTGTGTTTTGAAAGAGGATGAAAATCATCAAGCTGGATCTGAATCAAAGCAGAGAATGTGCATAGCTGCTTTCCTTTGGAAATCACACCCGCTCTACCCATTTCTTCTCTTCCTCAACCGGGACGAATACTATGACAGGTACCCCACAAATTTCCTATTCCTATTCTTCTTTCCCATGTCTTTCTAAGTATTCAATCTTTTCGCTGGGGTGGACTGAATCGGAAGGCCCACGAAGCCTCTGGGGTGGTGGGAGGAGGGCGACGGCGAGATCGCCGGCGGGAGAGACGGCGCTGCCGGCGGCACTTGGCTATGCTGTAACACCAGTTGGAAAGTTGCTTTCCTTACCAACGTCCGGGAGGGGGTCGATCCCTCCTCCTCTCCTGCCAAAAGCAGGGGTGAGCTCCCTGTTCGCTTCTTAAAGGTACACCCACCACCTGTTTGATCAATTGTCTCCATGAGTTTTCAACACTTACATCATCGGCATAACATTCAATACTCCCCCTCTCTAAAAAATGAACTCATTGACCACTAATTAATTTAAAATAATTAAATATTATACAAATTTGATATTTCAAAACTATATTTTAAAATAAACCCAATTTTACTAAATTTACATTATAACTAAATATACTTTTTCCATAATCCAAGGTCAAAGTGTGAAAGTCAAATTGTGTCAATCTTTTAAGAACGGAGGGTTTAAGAATGTTTAACATGTGTCTTTACATGTCTATGAAAGGTTAGGGTGAGTGGTAGAAGAATTAGGAGATTCCAAACCAAAACCAAATGACAATGAGAGGATTCACTCATTTTCTTGTATGCAAGTCGTTTTTAGCCTGATGTTCAATGAAGGACTATGCCCTCAAGTATCCATCATGTGCAACTTTGGTCTTCTTATCTCAAATTCTCACTTTCTCCTGCTCTAATAGACGTGTTTTCTTTTTCCTTTTTTTTAAATTTATTTGAGCTCCTAAGCCTTGATTTTGATACCATGTAGAATTTGGAGATTCCAACCCAACCCAATCGTAATTGACAGTGGGAGGAGTAGCTCATATTCTTATATTAGTCTTTTTTAGCTTGGGTGTTTGATGTAGGACTATATCCTCAACAATTGTGTTGAAATGGGAGGAGTAGCTCATATTCTTTTCAACTACCGTCTACCAATTAAAATAAGAAGAACAAGAATGATCAATTGTTTTTTGCATTTCCATTTATGCCTCTTGGCTTTTATTTCAATTAAAATACGTGAGTATGTTTAAAAAAAAGCCAAATGGTATGAATGGGAATGCAAAAAATGTGACCATTCTTGTTGTTTATGACTCACATGTCGGAAGAGAGAATAATGAGTGGGGTTCATGCAAATTTTCTTCCATTGGTCTTTCTTTGGTAAGGGGAAAATTCATTTTCTTCCCTTTTTCTCTGCTCTACATTTCTCTCCTCTTGTATCCTATCCTATCTAACACGAGTCCGATTATTTTGACACCAAGGAATATGACACGGGCTTTACAGTGTTTCGTTCGATTCTGTAGTGGATTTTTCTCTCCCTAACCTCCTTAGCTCCTCTACATTCCTCTCAACCTGTATCTTAACCTATCTAACATGTTAATAAGATTTAAGAGTCCAATTCTTTTGACACCAAGGGCCGGTGTCATAATATGACGCTGGTCCTATGGTGCTTCCTTCATTCTGAAGTAGTTTTTATCCTTCCTAAGCTCCTGCAACTTTACATGCCCCCATCTCAACCCCTAGCCTCCCTCTCCCTCCCCCCTTGAGTGACAACCCATTGTCAAATTTTTAACCATGGATTGTCACTTGGGGAGATAGGGCGAGCTGGGATGGGGGCATGGTTGGGTGTCAAAAGAATCCAATGTACTATCAAAGTGGTTGATGACACTTTTCCCTATTTTGTTTGGACATTCTCTTAAGAGCACTTGCATTATCATCTTAATTTCACCATTTTTATAATCATTCAATTGATTGTCATGTTTTATGGTTGCAAGAGTAATAAGAGCCCTCATGATTTTGCCGAGGAACTCACGGGAGAAGCTGACCTTTTTGGTGGGTTTAACCTGGTGGTGGTTGATCTATGTTCCATGACCATGCTTTACATAACCAATAGACCAAAGGGCAAAGGTGTCTTAGTTACAGAGGTATCCCCTGGCATCCATGTCTTGACTAATGCAACATTAGACTCTCCATGGCCCAAGGTAGTCAATCAAGCTTCATGAGACTCTTCTTGACCACTCTATCATATCCAAACCACTCTCTCTTTTCCTTTTAATCATGATTGAATCTGTTCATTGTTTTTTCTTTCAAGGCTCAAAGGTTACGCAGAGGTTTGAAGCTGGTATTGGAGGAATACGGGGAGTCCGAAATTCCGGTGGAGTCAACAGCGAAAGAGCTGATGCAAGACACGACAAGAGACGAGGACGAAAATGACCTTCCCGGGATCCTCTCGCCCGAATTCGAGTTCCAATTGAGTTCCATATTTGTTGAAATAGAATCGCCTTCGGTTCTCTCTCTCTCTCACACACACACACACACACTCTCTATCTTTGTTGCATAATAATTCTATAGAGTAGTGATTTGGTGGTTTAAGGTTCACATCTAATTCTATAGACCTGCTCACATAATTTTTACTTCCTAGCCTCATAATCTTGGAAAAGACCCATCAACATTGCAAAAGATCAATCATTTCAAATAAGGTCCACAAAAACGAAGTGGACCTAAGACGTACCATAGTATTCGCAAATCTTGATCTCGAATGATTTTTATGATTCACAGGGGCGGCGTTTCGGAACAAGAAGCACATCCGCATTGGCGGTGAAGAATTCCTCAGAGGTCGAGTTTTACGAGAGGTCTTATCATGTGAATGGTTTGTGGGAGGAACAAACCATTTCCTTCAACATGAAGTTCTTGCTCTGTACTTGAAAATCACACCAATAACAAAAGTTGTTGAGGCACCCACCCTTTACATATACTGTGAGTAAACGTTTCTGCACATATATGAACTTCTTGGTTTCCTTGCTGTTAATTATATAGCTAAATAAAATTCAATTTCTTATATAATTAATTCTAAAATAAAAAGAATACAAACACAAAATAAAAACATAAAAATAATGAAATTGGAGGCGTAGTCTAATTGATATGTTTGGCAAATGTTTAGACCTACATACTTATTCTTTTTGGTACCACCATCAAAGGGGCTATCCTTCTATGCCAAATGCCACATAAAGCTGAATTTGGTACCAAATAATGTTTACTTTAGCCACACTGTCCACCCTTACTAGCTCGTTAGACGCGATATTTTCAACTCTATATTAGGGCGTAATATTTATCTTTAAGTATAACCACTCAATTAAAGTCTAATTTACATCTTCTGATTAATGTTTGGCCGGTTTGGAGGTCCTTTGAGACCGATTTCATCCTTTTATATCTATTCGAGGTTATGAACATACATCATATGGGTCAGCTTAACGTATTTAGCTAACACAGAACGGAGGTCCAAACACGCCCGCCGGAGTAAGGAGACCGCTAGATCTAGAGACTAGAGAGTTCTTCCTTTATAGATTTGTTTGCATTAAATATGAAAAACATGCGTTTAGAATGAATGAAACGGAGTACTACCTCCGTCCCTGAGTATTTGTCCAGTTTTAACTTTTTTCAGTAAATTGTTTTTAATCTTTAACCTATAATTAAATAACATATAATGTATATTAATTAGATAAACTAATATTTTGAAAATATTTGATGTAATAAATCTAATAAAATTGTTTTGCTATCAATTCCAAGTTTACCAATTTTGACCGAATATTGGACAAAAACTCACGGAGGGAGTACAACACATCTTGAATCCCTTTTGTCTGCATCGCTTAAAAAAGAACGAGTCTCTTGATAACGTTCTTGATAACGAAACAAAAGAAGATCATTTCGGCTCAGAGTTGTCCTTTGTATTAATTTCATGGTTTTTTCTGAATTTGAAAGTGGAGGAGCACTGAAATCACGTACACGTTTGGTTCAAGGAATTTGGAAAGAAAAAAATGATTTTCTCTCATTTTCCTTCTCAAAATGGGAAGAATTTGGTTTTTCCTCCACTTATTACATTTGCTTTTTCATTTTTTTTCCTTCGACTTTTTCTTTCTTTTCCTCCCTAACCAAATAAGAAAAAATTGTTTTCACCTCATTTTCTTTTCTTTTCCTTTTTAAATTTCTTGAACCAAACATAGGGGTAGAAATTTAAAAGAATACCAACGACGAAAGCAGTCTGTTGGCCGATAATAACACTGAGAGACCAATGCAAGGGGAGCAAAGTAACGCATTTTTGTTATTGGCAGAACCGTAGTATGTTCTCTCAGTTTTAGAAAATAATATACTTCCTCCGTTTCGTAAATAATGTTGTATTATACTCCTTCCGTCCCAAAAAGAATGTTACATTTCATTTTTTGCGCATCACAAAAAGCACTGCTACTCACATCTAAAAATTCTAAAATTTACTATATTTACTCTTTATTATAAGATGAAATTATTTTGAAAGTTTTTTTGGCATTTGAGACGATATAAAAATGTTTTAAGGGGCGCAAAAAATGAAACGTAACATTATTTTTGGGACGGAGGGAGTACTTTTTTACCTACCTCAAACTAAGGTTCTGCATTTCATATACAATTTTTTATCTCTAAATAATACTTAAATAATTTTTACTGGCGAGAACAATATACAATGATGCTTGAACAATATACAGTGACATTGGACATTTACTTGAACAATGAACAGTGAACAATAACTCAGTGGTACTATATTGAAAAATAGAGACATATAACACTACATTAAAAATATCACTATATTTTAGTACTACCATTTAGATAAATTCTCCTATTTTTCTCTCTTCTCTGTTAAATTTTCAACGACATAGGGATGACCCGAGTGCGCTCTGGTGCCCCGTTCGTAAAATTGATGGTTCCTACTCCCTAACCCCCGGTAAACCCCCTACCCCGCCCCGACCCGAACACACCCGCCACCTCCAATTGCACCTCCAAAGTCAAAATCAACTTGTGGGGTACAATTGAAGGAGGTGGGAGGTGTGTTCGGGTCGGGGCGGAGTGGAGGTTTACCAGGGGGTTAGAGGGGTAGGAACCATCAATTTTACGAACAGGGCACCGGAGCACCCCGGGTCATCCCATGACGTTGAAATGACATTGGGAACCCCACTCCTGTCTCCGGTCATTTGTAGAACCCGGTCAATCCAAAAACATAATTGTAAGACGTAGGGATCCGAGCAACAAATACGAAGTATTCCATTTGTCCAAAATGGAGAAAATTTTGTTATGGATTGAAACCATTGCAAGGTATGGGACTTGTCCCACATCGGTTGTATAGGCAATTGATGTTTGTATAAGCAATTGATGTGTGGTTTATAGGCTTAATGGGTTCCCTCACCTATCAGACTAGTCTTTTGGGTTGAGTTCTTCCGTTTGGCAAGTAACACATTTTGGGACGGAAGAAGTAACAAGTTAGACAAACATGAACTTAAAGTTTGATTATTAAAAGACAATTAAGGACCACGATTATTATTAATTATATTACTCGATCCCTAAGAGCGTTGGTAGCTTGCTAATTACATTAATTAATTAAGAGGCACATTTAGTACAGGTGCAGTCGGCACCGCATCGACACCCTGACTTCCCGCCGCTGATCTCCGCCCCGGCGGGACAGCCGCAGGGGTTGCAGCCGCAGTGGTCGCCACACGGGCACTGCTTGTGCTCTTCTCCTCCAGCACCGCCACCGGCTCCGGTGGCGGCGCACCTGCAGGCGGTGCTTCCCGGGCAGGGCGACGGGCAGCCGCACCTCTCGTCGCAGATGGCCCCACTTCCCCTCATTTCGTCCGCCATTGTTTCCCTTCGTACTTCTTCTTAGGTACCATCTTTCGGTCTGGTCGTGGCTATTAAATACCACTCCGTCAGGAGGTGTGGGTACACGTGGCAAAGCAGAAAGAAGACATGTGGCAGCTGATCCGATTCTTTGCATGCATTATGTGGTTGTACCCCCTACAAGCATGCATGCCACGCGTCCAAGCATACATATACTTCCTCCATCCCTAAATAAACTTCCATTTTTGACTTTTTGAGGATTTAATGGTGGGATATTTTTGTGTTGACTTTCCAAAAATACCCTTGATGTGATGTGTAAAAGTAAGATGTGATATGTAAATTATTAGTAAAAAGGTATGATGCGATAAGTAGGGTATGAAAAAGTAAGAGGTAAAAGGGGTTTTTTAAGCTAAGGGAAAAGATAAGTTTATTTGGGGACAAAGAAAAAATAAAAGGGGAAGTTTATTTAGGGACGGAGGGAGTATTATCTTCCTTTTATTTTTGACTTTTGTGTACATTTTTTTAAAAAAATTTGTTCAGAAATGGTACGCGAATTTAATTTCGAATCAATATATACATTTTGAAATACGAATTTTAAATATCATATTTTCATAATAGATGTCTATGCGTAAAGTGAAGATTAGATATTAATGCTCAAAGCATTTAATTGAAAATCATTAAAACTTAAAATCGAAAAAGTATATGAGCGAGAAAGAGTGATAGTCAAAATGTTACAATAGAGATCTTTATCAAATTAAAAGAATAGAAGCAATGTAGATGCGAACCTATATTATACATCCCCGTGTACCTAGAGCTAGGTACACCGATCAAATGTTCATTTTGAATGAATAATGTAATGTTTATTCTGAATCAATATACGTACGCTTGATTGTTACACATTTGTTCATGTGAAATTTGCAGTGAATATGACTAAAACATAAAAATCATTTTCCCAATGCAGTACTTACACTTTTTTATTCTCTAAATAAGATTTAATAATGTCTAGTGAGAAAAATAATGCCCAAGTGATGCTGAACATTTAGTTGAATAATGACTAATAGATAATAATCAATGGTCCTACATTGGGAAATAAAAACATATGGTCCTATATTGATAAAGTCATTATGTTTTAGTCGTATTTAAGTAAATTGCTTTTTGTTCATTACGAAAAAAATATTCTTTTACGGATGACTTGGTGTCGGTTCTCACACAACCTAGTGTTGTTTTCAGGTGTGTTTAGCATTGTTTTCATTTCAAACAACATAGTGTTGACTCTCAAGCAACGTAATATTCACTTTAAAAGAACGTAGTGTTTACTTTGAAATATTTTATAATTATAAGTTACTCATGATGTATTGTATACTCCGTATTTGAATGTACCAAGTGGTATTAAAAAAAGTTTCATTGGCCTTGTTCTCTTCAATTTATTCTATTAATTACTTATTACTTTTTCTTATTAAAATTACTTGAGTTTCAATCAGATGAAATGATAATTAACTTTAAATATAATTACATTCAAATCAGATCAGATTAAAATTTATTTCAATCAGATCAGAACCATTATTAATTAGGCGGAGAGAATATGACTTAAATGGCTTAATCTACTTAAATGTAATTACGTTCACAAGCTCTTTATTGGCTTCCCATACAAAGAGGAGAATGCGCTGAGGCCATTACTTTTGCTAAAATTAAAACAAAACAAAACATAAAAGTCATTTTCTTACTACTCTTTGATGGAATGATGCAATTAAATTAGTTATGCATGCATGATGACGATTAACAAACCTTAATTATATACGATCGAGTAGAATAATTAATTAATTGCAACTTAACGATGGCTAGTTTAACAAACCAGCCATCCAAGAAGGCGATCAGAAGCCCGGAGAGATCTTCATACTCAAGATCATCTCAGCCCGCCACCAACAACCGCGGCTCCGCCGGCCAAACGGTGAAATTCGCGCGGCGGACGTCGAGCGGCCGGTACGTCAGCCTCTCGAGGGAGGACCTGGACATGTCGGGGGAGCTGGCGTCCGGGGACTACATGAACTACACCGTCCACATCCCCCCGACGCCCGACAACCAGCCGATGGACGACGCCGCGGCGTCGTCCTCGGTCGCCGCCAAGGCGGAGGAGCAGTACGTCTCCAACTCGCTCTTCACCGGGGGGTTCAACAGCGTCACCCGGGCCCACCTCATGGACAAGGTGATCGAGTCCGAGGTTAGCCACCCGCAGATGGCGGGATCCAAGGGCTCCTCCTGCGCCATGCCCGCCTGTGACGGCAAGATCATGAGGGACGAAAGAGGAAACGACGTCACTCCATGCGAATGCAGGTATGCCGTATGTACATTTTTTTGAATTTATCTAATAATTTAACATGCATAATATTATTATTGATACAAAAATAATTTTACTACTTTATATTATACACGAGTATTATATTTTTAAAATATTGTTTTGACTTCAAAAATCAAAACTAAACAAATACTTAGGAACTAGATAATACTACTTCTACCTATTTTGATTACAATTTATGAAAGGAGGATATTTAATTATAATGTAAATTTGATAGAATTGAATTTATTTTTAGATATGATTTTGATAAATCAATTTTTTATAACATCAGTATATATAAGAGTATATATTGCATTTATTAATAGCCAAATGTCAAGAGAGTTATCAAAAAAAGTTGAAATGTAGAATTTTTTTAGGACGAATGAAGTAAAAACTATTTATATGGCAAGTACTCAATAAAAAAATATGAAAATTTACAACTACCTCCGTCCAAAAGGTTTTATTTCCAGTTTGACTTGACACGAAAATTAAGAAAATTAAAAAATGTAAAAACTTTTCATGTTTGACCTTGATGTAATGTAATATAGTTAATAATATATACGAGTACAAAAAGTGGGTTATAATGACACATTCACTAAATTTTTGTTGCTAAAATAGGAAAAAGAATTAGCAATTCAAAAAGAAAAATGAGTAGTAATATACGGTGTAGTATTTTTGGACTTACAACCACAGACTTGATTTAATTTTAATTTTTGGTGTTTTTGGTTGTTTGTGTTAGGTTCAAAATATGCAGGGACTGCTACATGGACGCCCAAAAGGACACGGGACTGTGCCCGGGGTGCAAGGAGCCCTACAAAGTAGGGGACTACGAAGAGGACGTCCCGGAGTTCACGAGGGGGGCCGCGCTGTCCTTACCGGGGCCGGACGGCGGCGGCTCCAAGAGGGACAGCCGGAACAGCAACATGTCGATGATGAAGAGGAACCAGAACGGCGAGTTCGACCACAACAAGTGGCTGTTCGAGACGCAGGGGACTTACGGCTACGGGAACGCGTATTGGCCCCCGGAGGAGATGTACGGAGGCGAGGACGAGGACGGGATGATGAAGAGAGGCATTTTGGATAGCTCCGCTGATAAACCTTGGAAACCACTTAGTAGGAAATTGCCCATTCCCAATAGCATCATTAGCCCGTACAGGTATGTTTCGGTGGCCGAGCTCCAAATCAAAATCAACTTGTGGGGTATAACTGAAGGGGGTGGGGAGGTGTGTTTGGGTTGGGGGCGGTGTGGGGGTTTACCGGGGTAGAAACCGTCAATTTTACGAACGGGGCACCCCAGGTATCCCATGGGGCAATGTGGAACCTTGCCGATTTATTTATATGATAATCAAAATTTTGTTGTTCATATTGCAACAGGTTGCTTATAGCAGTTCGGCTAGTAGTGCTATGTTTCTTCCTGGCATGGCGGATAAAGCACCCAAACGACGACGCATTATGGCTGTGGCTCATGTCCGTCACCTGCGAAATCTGGTTCGCCTTCTCCTGGATCCTGGACCAGATCCCCAAGGTCTGCCCCTGCAACCGCTCCACCGACCTCGACGTCCTCCGGGAGAAGTTCGACCTCCCCTCCCCCTCCAACCCCACCGGCCGCTCCGACCTCCCCGGGGTCGACTTCTTCGTCTCCACCGCCGACCCCGACAAGGAGCCCCCCCTCGTCACCGCCAACACCATCCTCTCCATCCTTGCCGTCGATTACCCCGTCGAGAAACTCGCCTGCTACATCTCCGACGACGGCGGGGCCCTCCTCACCTTCGAGGCCATGGCCGAGGCCTGCAGCTTCGCCGACCTGTGGGTCCCCTTCTGCAAGAAACACGACATCGAGCCCCGGAATCCCGAGAGTTACTTTAGGTAAAAATATATATCTTTTCGTACATTATTCACATGATACACTATCATTCACTTTCTTACTTAATAAGTTCCACTACTCATTTTTTAAAAGAAAATTAGTCGAATTATTTGGAGTACTTAGTTTTTTCTTATGTTAGCTTGAAGGGGGACCCAACCAAGAACAAGAAGCGGACGGACTTCGTGAAGGACCGGCGGCGGGTGAAGAGAGAGTACGACGAGTTCAAGGTGAGGATCAACAGTTTGCCGGATTCGATACGGAGGCGGTCGGACGCGTTTAATGCCCGAGAGGAGATGAAGATGCTGAAGCAGATGAGGGAGAGCGGCGGGAGCGAAGCTCATGAACCGATAAAGGTGAAGAAGGCGACTTGGATGGCCGATGGCAGCCACTGGCCCGGAACTTGGGCCGTGCCCAGCACCGACCACGCAAAGGGTGATCATGCTGGCATACTACAGGTAGGTATACATCCTATTCACTCCATCCGTCCCGTATTAATGTTCCACAATTGACTAGAAACAAATATTAAGAAATGTTAAATTTTTGTATTTAATAAAAGTATGTGTGTATAGGTAATGTTGAAGCCCCCTAGTTGTGATCCACTTATGGGAGGGTCCTATGATGAGGATAAACACCTCTTGGATTTCTCCGACGTGGACATCCGTCTTC